GGTAATTTTTAAAGATTATAATTTAGCGCCCATTATTGATATAAAATCTTTGATTTACCTGATACATATCATTAAAATTAAGTAGATTTTTTATTTTTGGGTCTACTCATTACAAGTAATTTCTTCAGTAAATAAACACGTAATAGATAAGAGTTATCACTGAAAGTAACATTCCCAAGCTTAGCACAAAATTAGTATAGTCAGTTATCGTTGCAATAAAGTCGTTAGCAGGTCGTTTTTATAAATGGTAAAATTTACGGCGTTATTTTACTTCCCAACCCTGCATTTTTTATACAAATATATTTGCGTGAAATGTTCCTTTTCAATTAGTTATTCAGTCAGACGATTCATAAAATAAGAACAATGGAAAGATTCTTAACTATAAAAATTCAAACTTTGGGTAGCCTTTTCATCAGTGTTTTAAACATTTCGGTAACTTTTACTTAATTTTATTCCTGTTTCCAATCTAGAATTATTACTTAACATAGATCTGCGGCATACGATACTTGTTTTCCCACTACATTTCCTGCAACCTTCGGAAAGTGCAGTCGTCACCTATCTCACGTTAAAAAGTTATTAAGAATGAAATAAGGAATTCAACTCCGATGACGCTGATCGTGACACATATTGTCAAGGTAATGACCCATAGTGACCATCAAAGGGTTTCGTCAGTCGCTCGTTGCTTATTAAGAAGTTATTAAAATTAACATTCACCTCCGATGGCCTCGATCTTCCCATACATTATGAAGGTCATCACATTGTATAATCTTCGGAAGGTTGCAGCAGTCACCCATCACGCGTTGCGAAGTTATCCCAAAAAATTAAAATGACCCTGACTCATATTGTCAAGGTCACAACCCTGAGTGACCATCGGACACTTTCAGTAGGCGACCGCTGCTCATTAAGAAGGTATTAAAATAAAAATGAACAGTTCATTTTCGATGACCCTGACCCTTCCATACATTACGAAGGTCATCACACCGAACAACTTTCGAAAGGTTGTAATAATCACCTATCACGCGTTACAAAGCTATGCAAAAAAATTAAAATGGCCCTGACTCATATTGTCAAGGTCACGACCCTGAGTGACCATCGGACACTTTCAGCAGGCGGGGTTGAGAGAGGACGAAAGAGGGTGACGAAGGACAAAAGAGAGTGAGATAGGGCGGAAAATAGAGGGTTGGTGCGGGTGGGGGGTGGGATAGGAGAAGGGGAGAGAGAGGGTGCGACTGGTCAAGGTTAGTGGAAGTGTGAGTGAAAGGTGAGAGAGGACGTTAAAATAATTAATATAACGAAAGAGAGTGAAATACGTCGAAAAAGCGGGTGGTGGGGGCAGGGGATTTGATGCGGATGGAGAGGGGGGAGGGGGAGGAGTAGGTCGAAGTTGGTGGAAGTGTGAGTGAATGGTGAGACAGGACGTTAAAATAATTAATACGGCCTTGAATGCGGACAGAGAAGAAGAAGAAAAAGAAGAAGGAGATGTTCTTCATATCTCACGAAAATCATCACTCTTCGACCGCTCATATGTCCAGAACGGCTTGACCGATTTTAATTTGTTTTAGCTCAATTTACTCGTGGCGATGCGACCTTCCAGGATATATTACGTGCATTTCAAAATTTTGTATATTTTAGTAGTTATGCACCCCCGAAGAATGCACTTTGGTGGCTCGGGATAAGAGACTTGTAGTGTCTTTCATTTCATTAATCTTGAAGTAGTTTTTTTTTTTAACATGGCCGGAGACACTACCGCGTCTCCTGATAAAAGCAGATTTCGAGATTTTTGACCCATTTTTATGCTCTAAATCAAGGCAGCCTAACGCGTGCCACCGAAGAAGCTTCTCCCACTCACGCGTTCATTGTTTCCCTCATCGTTCCCCTCACCGTTCCGCCGGCGCCGTATTGCTGTTCCCCGCCGTCGCGTTCGGCGCTCTTTAACGATCGCGTTCAGCGGTTTTCGGCAGCTCTCAGCTTTGACGTTTATATTTATCGTTTTATATATCGACAAAATTATATTTAATAACCAGTAATGTCTAATAAGAATAAAAGAAATATGAACAGACACTTTAATCCCAAATGGGAAAATGAATTTTTATTTTTTCTTAATCCAAGCAACAAGCCGCAATGTATGGTTTGTAATCAAATGGTGTCACGAATACATAAATTTCAAATTCGACGACATTACAAAATACATGCAAAGTAATTTATTTCACAAAATGAAAAAAAGATTTGTTTAACTGAATTTCGAGCCAAAGCATCTACACGTGATTCAACGTTTATGTCGCCTATGAAAAAGTCAAGTTTAATTGCTTCTTTTCATGTCAGCTTGATAATAGCTCGAGAATTAAAAACTTCGTACGATGGTTCTTTCGCAAAGAAATGTGCAATCGCAATTGCAAATGCCTTTGAAAATACTACCGCGATAAAACAGATTGAATCTGTTTCATTACCTCGATCCACGGTATCAAGACGGATTTCCGTTTTAAATAATTTCGTAGAAAGAAAAATTAAGCAAGAAATCGATGATTGTCGCTATTTTTCAATTTGCCTTGATGAAAGTGTTGATCGGTCAGATACAAGTCAACTTCTTATTTATATTCGATATGTCAATGATAATTTTGCTGTATCAGAAGAGTTACTCGATCTTAAACCTCTTTATCGTACAACAAAAGGAATCGATGATTTCAATGCGGTTCAAAATTCCAATAAAAAATTTGGTGATTTCAAAAAATGTTCTGATGTTATTACTGATGGTGCAAAAGCTATGGTGGGTTCGTAAAATGGCTTTTGGTAATTTACGAAAAAATAATATCACTTCCCAAGTAACACGATCTATAATATATTTGCTGCAACAGCAAAAATGTGACTAGTACAATGTTCTGCCAGCCTTAATTACAACTATTTGACAGCCACAGCTATTTTGGCTGTATTGATAGCTGTACAATCGTTGTGACAGCTAATAAAAAATTAAAAATACAGCCACAGCTATTTTGGCTGTATTGGTAGCTGTACAGTCGCTGTGACAGCTAGTAGAAGAGTCAAAATGCAGCCACAGCTATTTTGGCTGTATTAGTAGCTGTACAGTCGCTGTGACAGCTAGTAGAAAAGTCAAAATGCAGCCACAGCTATTTCGGCTGTAAAAGCACATATACATATATGATAATTTTACAGCCAAAATAGCTGTAATCTAGCTGTAATTTGTATGTCACAGCAAAAACAAAGAATAACATATACAATTGTCCGTTTTAGGTTAAAAGCATGTATCAGCGATGGTCATGCGGACCCATGCGTTCATTTAAGCGGCTCTAAAATTATTACTTAAGGGTCTGTGTGTAGTTCTGTAATTAGCGTATTTATGAATTTGCGTCCGCGTTAGTATTATATGTGTACGTTATAAATTGTAATAAGTTGTAATGATTAATTAATCCTTAAATTTGATCTAATTCTAATGAGACAAAGATTCCGGGTTGTTTCAAGTTCAATTCCAGCAAAAAAAATTTTTTTATTGTATTTTAAGTATTTTTTCGTAATTTTAAAATTAAAAATTAAACTTTCATTGAATATTAATTTACATATGAAGAACATTCTACTTATTAGTTTATTTTATTCAAATTATCACTATAATATATATGGCTATGACAGCCTCTTTACAGCAAAATGGTTATGCAGTTGAATGGCTGCAACATCGTTTCCAAAATCCAAAAATGTTGTCCCATTTTTGCTGCAACAACTTTGTGACAATGTCATAATGACTTTGTGGCAGTGACTGTCATAGACAAAAATAATGCTGCGGTGTAAGCTGCGACAACATTATTGAAGACATTTTATAGTGGTTACGACAATCTTTCCGCAGCAAAATAATTGCGTAGCCAAATGGCTGCGACATCGTCTTCAAAGCCTAAAAATGTTGTCCCATTTTTGCTGCTGCAACTTTGTCACAATGTCATAATGACGTTATGGCAGTGACTGTCATAGACAAAAATGCTGCGATTTATGCTGAGACACCGTTATCGCAGACGTTTTAAAGCTTCATGTGTTACTTGGGTTGCCTCGCATATCACTGCATTATCCATCAGGAGGCTTTATGTGGGCGATTTCTCAAATCATGCGAAACTATGGAATTTGTCACGAAAGCCGTAAATCTCATTCAAGGAGGAAATCGATCGCTCACACATCGGAAGTTTCGACATTTCCTGACGGAAATGAATGCAGCTTATCCAGATTTACTCTTGCATTGTGAAATTCGATGAGTGCTGGAAAATGTTTGGATCGTTTTTTCGCTCTAAGAAACTAGCTCCCAGATTTCTTAAAAAATGAGTTAAACATCGATACCACTGAGATAGAATCGAAACTACGAAATGTACAATTTTTGCAGGAATTAGCTTTTCTTACAGACATAACACGTCATTTATGTACATTGAATCTTAATTTGCAACAAACGAAACAAAATATTTCTGCAATGGTTGGACATGTGAATGGATTTCGATTATTGCTAAATCTATTTAGGAGTAATTTGGAAATAAATGACCTGAGACATTTTCCATGCTTCACGGAAATCAGAAAGACACGTAATGACAGACAAGATTTCATTTACTCGATATACCGAATCAATTAATACATTGATTCGTAAATTCGACAAATATTTTGCTAATTTTGACAAAATTAAAAGTGACATTGCTCTTTTCGTAAATCCGAGAACTGCTAATACCGAACAAAAGGTTGAACTTCAGATCGAATTGTGTATGCTTCAAGCCGATCCATTTTTCACGGCCAAAACTGAAACCTGCGAATATTTTTATCAACTTTTGCCAGCCGATAAATATCCACGTCTTCGTAATTTTGGCTTGAAGATGACGTCCATGTTCTCATCGACGTATCTCTGTGAAAGCGCATTTTCAACTTTGAACATCATAAAATCAAATTACCGTACTACTCTATCTGATGCCACTTTGCTTTCTGTTTTAAGACTTGCAAGGACTGAAATTCCTATAGATATTAATGAAGTGATTCTTATCGAAGATGAATTGCAAGCCTAATGATTTTCACATAATTACAGATTATTATTTGCGTTGTGTTATAATCGTGAGAGGGGGGCAAAGGGACTCACGTAAAAAAAGCACCCCAAAGGAATCAAATATCGTCACGTTCTAGTCGTTGATTCTAGTTAATATTAAGAACGGTAATTTCTCATAAAGAGAGAAATTTGATAGAAAATATTATTAAGGGGGGGTAAGGTTTTTTAACTTTTTTTTGACCATTTTGTTTTTATTTTTTTATATGAATGCACAACATCTCAAGAATATTGTGTCCAAATTTGAAGTCGATCCGAGTAAAAGTAACGGAGATATGAATGTTTAAGTAAGTGTACCTCGAACGTCGATTTCGTATACCTGCGCGGCGCGCTTGCCTAGCTGCCGTTTCGTGCTCTTTTGTTGTCCCCAAATTCCTTTCTTTGTCGAGCGATCTTCGTACGTATACAAAGGCGATGCCTGGCCTTGTGTACATTCGGTGTATAGTATACAGATTTTGTGTAAGTAAACACAAAAAACTCGGAATTTTCAGTGTACAAAACTAAGCGATTTTCCCACAAGTCGTGTTTTCAAAGTCGGTGAACACTCTCCAGTCAAAACGGCTGAACCGATCGTTTTGAAATTTGGTACACTCATTCACAACTAAATTCATGAGGTAACGCTGTCGAGTTTTTATTTTTTCTTTGCTTATTTTTCATTTTACAGTAAGAAATATGTCGTTTTTTTTTATCAAAAATCGATTTTTTGACTTTCAAGTGCTGCCAAAAATCTAAAAAAAATTAAAAAAAAAAAACTCGACAGCGTTACCTCGGGAATCTTATTAGCTTCTCAAAACATCTTCATTTTTTGATTTTAATTGATCCGCTGATGGGCTATACTGTTCACCGCAAAACCACTTTTTTTGGAGGTGCTTCCGGAAAACGGCCGCCATTTTGTTATTTCTTGACATTTTTCAATATAATTTTTACTACATATTCTTCAAATGTTGCTTTATTATACCTACATCAATTCAAGTTACTTCCACTAACAGTAGCGCGTCAAAAAATTCGTAAAAATGGGTCATTTTTAGGCCGAATTAACCTTACCCCCCCCCCCCTTTAATTTAGGCCGAATTAACCTTCCCCCCCCCCCCCTTAAACTCATTCGCACAATCTCTGAACATTAAAATTCAATGTCGCACAGGCTACGTTAAGTTGTAATTGTGATTAGAATTGAAATGTAAGCCTCTGACGGAGCATTTTCCAAAAGCTGTTTCTATAATAAATTCTTAATTGACTTTTTTTGTAATGTGTTATTTTTTTCTTTGTTAAGATTATTTCATTCCTATTTTAAAACAAATTTATTACACATTATTTACATAGTTAGTTATAATATTAATGTAGTTTAATATCGTTGAAGAGTGCTGAACGCGACAGCAGGGAACAGCATTACGGCGCCGGCGGAACGGTGAGGGGAACGGTGAGGGAAACAATGAGTGCGTGAGTGGGGGAAGCTCCGTGCCTTCGGTGGCACGCATTGGGCTGCCCTGCTCTAGATTGAAAATTTGCCCTAGATGGTCCTATTTTTATGTCAGATTCGTATTCAACGAGTCAAAATACATAAGAATAGCTGGATCTCCACCCTAGTACAGAATACTTTTTTTGTGGGCCTGTGATATTATTTATCCATTCAGATACTGTGTTGGCTCTTTATACACATTTTATATTATTAATTTACTTAATTTATTCAGCATTTCATTGTATCATTTTTTAATAATAAATAAATGTTAATAAATTGATTATTCAAATAAAATTAATTAATAGCTTTATAGTGTTACTTCATTTTATTTCATATGTTAAACTTACTTGCATAGAATATTTATGTATATGCACATTAAATCTACGTATAATAAGTGAATATTACGCACAGATACATTAATCAATACATAGATCATACTTAACAAGCAAAATAACGTCAATTTTGTCGTCAAAATGCAATTTATTCTGAAATTTTATATTAAAAATAAAAGTACCTAGATATTTTTAGGGTACATTTAAGATACCTGTACCTGTACCTAGGTATTGTATTTTTTTAGTACCTGTACCTCAGTACATTTTTTCCAGGATACCTGTACCTGTATCTAGGTATTGAAAATATAGTACGTTGCACGACACTGATTAATACACTAGTAATGCTCTACAATGACCAATAATGTAAAACTTCATATCACTTGTTATAATACATAATTCTTTTAAATAATGCCCAATAATTCTTCAAATCTGTACACTGCAACGTCCTCAAGGGTTTACCCCTTGCATGAGCTTAATTCCTGCAATTTATCATACGATTGGAAAATAATGGATCCGTCACAATTTTCTCAGCGTTTATGGAAAATTGTAGAGAAATTATTAGAACGGCCCGAAATGGGAGCAGTTTTACTTACTAAGCGAGTTAAACTAGATCAAGATGACTTGTTTCTGGTGATTAGGAGAAAGATCGTACAACATACGCATATTACATATCGAATACAGAACGCGGATCGAAGAATACATATACTTTCGAATTCGCATAACCGGTAGAATTATGAAAAAGAGAACTTCTAGCGATATTGATAGATATTCTCCATATTTAACTCTTTTATATGTAGAAAGTGTATCATAATTTTAAAGTATTTACTATAGTGAAAAATTATAGAAAGTCAATGGTCTTAATCCATCAAATTTCCGATAAATAAAGATTATAAATAGTTGTATTTGATTGTATAAAATGAATACACAGTATGATGAACTACGCGATTATAACTGTATGCTATTTTATAACTGCATGTAGGTGTCATGTGCAATCTTTCCTTTTCTCTTTCGCTAATGTGCTATTTTTTATATGCAATCTATCAGCACTTATGATACTTACAGATAACGATGCGCCAGATGTTTATAAGATATTTGGAGGTGCCAGAATGCGTCAAGTGGACTACGATTATTCATATATGAATAACGATGTAAATGAAAATCAAGAGGATCTCTACATTGGTAACAGTGATAATCCGTGGAGTGCTTCCTCAGCGCGTATACATGACAAGGATATCTACGTGCATACATCAACGAACAACGCGACAGCGAACAACATGAAAACTCAATCCGCGTAAGTCGAACGTATAATAAAAACGTTTATTAGTTTGTAATATAACAATTTGTGATCAAATATACCTACATATACAATAATAATTGATTGCCAATGATGAGTTAGATAAACAATTTAATGTCGAATTAAATGGTTTCAACCCTCATTTTAAATCGCATCTTCAGTATCATTTTCCATCTAAAAGGATACATTTCCGAAAGAGTAAAATCTCCGATTTTGTTGTCGATTGATATACTACAGTATTTTGGTGAGCATGGATTACAAATATGATCAGGAAAATTACCGACAAAGTCATTTTCGAGGTCAAATATTAAAAAAAAACGTATTTTTTCATATGTTAACATACGTTGCCGAGACATACATTGTCAGGACATACGTTGTCATACGTTGTCAAGACATACGTTGTCAAGATCATGACCTTGAGTGACCTTCAATAGATTTTAGTTGGTAATCGTCTTTTGTTTAAAAGTTATTAAGAAGAAAAATTCAAAAAAATGACATCTCATTTCTGCTATATGCTATACGAGAAAAAGTATGCGTTTGCAACGACTCGAAAGTTCGAAGATTTGCGAAGCTAGCACGACATTCTATTAATATAAAAAAAAAATAATGACTGTTCAAATAGCATTTTTCATAGTTCTACAGTTCTGTATAAAAATAAAAAAGTTCCGCATTTTTTATATAATATATAAACCAAATATGTATCATTATGAATAAACTAAATATGAAAATATGACGTGCTAACTTTGCGATCTAGCACTACAATTTTCCTCTAAAGTATAAGAAAATCCAAATATTATATTAATATTTTTAACAACAGTTTCCAATAGTTCTATTAAAGATCTACTAATATATGCATTTTGAAAACAAAATTCCAATAACTTTCAATTTTTATAAATTTTATATATAATGGTAGGACACTTGAAGAAAGTGTCGTGCTGATTGCTTATAGCAGTTTTAGTGACGAACTGTCGCAATAAGTAATCAGCACGACACTTTTTCTGCAAGTGTCATGCTAGATACAGATATTAAAAAATTAATAACAAATATGTAGCGGCTAGAACTTTGTTTAAAAATAATTGTAGAGATAGAACTCTGCTAGAACTAGCGAGAACTGTCCTTGAAACTGCTATAAGCAATTAGCATACTTTCTTCAAGTGTCCTACCGTTTTCTATAAGGTAAACCCGGTATATAAGGCGCACTTAAGGGAAATTTAATTTATCAAGTATTATTTACCATGTTTAAGGCAAATCAACTACACCAGTAAAAACTTCATACTTTCTACTACTATGAAAAAAATATTAGGAATCCGAAATATTAATTTTTCATACTAAAAAAATACTTTGAAACCCTTGTATTTTTGCCATATATCCCATAAGGATGGGATATACGATTACTCATATGTACGGTTCATGAAAAATTTACAAATAATGCATATATTTTAGTGCACTGATTTCTATCTGAACACTTTGTATGATTTGGGCATAAATCCCGCCCGCTAGAAATGCCGTATATCCCAAACAGATGGGATATAAAAGACAACAAACTAATCAAAGAATACGAAAGCAAAACACGTGTATTTTGCTATACAGTATGCTTTATTTATTTCTCTACACGTATGTATCACAAAATAACCACTAGGTCTTTTACACGCCCTATAGTAATCATTTTATGTAAATTATAATTTATGATGGCGCTACTTATTACAGTGATAAATCGATTCAACTCACAATAATTTCATTAATATTAACAGTAAGAAGCTGAAATTATGACACAATACTAATATAACATAAAGGCATGTAACAGAGTAGTTGCGAGAAAATTACCCCCACTCCTTCTATTTTTTCTGACTTCTGCGGCGTATATCCCAGTGGGGCGTATTTTT